GCAGAAGGTTTAAGCATATATTTTATTAGATGAAGAATTTTTATGCTTGAAATATTAGTTTTATATAGTAAAATAATGAATGTTTACATCTTGTGTTTTATAGTATCCAATGTGGTTAATTATTAATTTTATGATGAATATGCTAAGTTATGACTTAGTGTATGAAGACTTAATAATATTATAGTATTAAAATTTTACTATGCATATATTTAATAATGATTTGTTTGTATATCTTGAAACTTATGTTAAAGTATTAATTTTATTTTATTTGATATATAGTATGATGAATGTTTATATGGCTTGTATTGTAACTTTCAATATAGCCAAATAATTCATTTATTTTGTCACATCCTAGATTTATAAAATATAATAAATTATCATTTTATTATTCATAATTTATAAATATACTCTTTTTTTTTCTTTATCCTTGAATTCAAATTTTTGTATTGACAATAGTAACTATTTTATTAACTAAAAAAAAGATCATAAGTCTTCCACCTACGCTTTAGATCTATTACAAAGTAGTAGATTACTCTGAAAATAAATATAAGGTAAAAACATATTAGCAACCACACATACTACTAGCAACTTTCGAAAATTTATAAAAATAATCTTCAATATTCATGAGATATATACAAATATCAGTAATTTAATATGAAATGATAATATATCCATTCATCATAAAACTTATGCTTTAAAAAAGCAATGATAATTTTTTATATAATAAACAAAATCATGCATAAGTCACATGCAACATATACATAATAATCAGATAACAAAGATGTATATGACACCCGATGGTATACTCTCCTAATAGCGGATATAGGAGCATACTCCACGGGATGGATTCCTCTCAATAGCAGATGGAGATAACTCATATCACACTCCCAATAGCGGATGGAGTGGTATCCCTCACCCCGCCCAAGTGAGGACACTTTCCTTCGAATATCGAATAAATGAATCATCTAATCGTCATGTTTGGCGACTTGATAATCCCTAAAGGAAATCGTCATACCTGCTCTCGGTAGGGATACATAAGCATCTATGATTATTCATTTATATTTATCTATTCATTCACGCATGTATTCAAGAAATTAGTATGATAAAAAATTATGAGAGACTATGCTTGATGTATGATCTACTAGACTATGTTCATTAGTGGCTCCGCATTGTATTAGGCCTACAAATTCTTTCACAAGTTGTACTTCTAATATAGACCATTAGCCTAGTCATATATACTATATAATAATAATCATATCAATATCATAAACTTAAGGAAAGTAGAAAATCAATAATTATTTTTAAATTATATCTTTAAATAAAAATTTTAAGTTCATCAAATCATAAAATATAAAACATTAATCTCTCAATAGTCCTCAATCAATCAAAATTATAATTGGAATAGCTCAATTGACTTAAACCAAACTCAATTCGATTGTAACCTAATAAACCAACCTCAAATCCTTATATAACCGATCTGAAATCATAATAGATTGGTTTAATTTAGATTTGATTGATCATGATTAGGTTAAGTAGGTTTGAACTAGTTAAGTTGGTTTGGAATCACCCTGACTGATCAAACCCGTCTAATTCAATCAATTAATGAGCTCAAACTAATAAGGGGAGAGAAAATCGGACTATATCGTATAATGTTAACCCAAACCGAACCGACCGACCGACCTGAGTCTTGGACGAGTCATATGTGCCGCATGTGTTTATCTCAAGTAATAGGTTGGGTTGAGGTACAATATTTTAGATAGGGGAGCGATGATGTATCTAACGTCAATCGCATAGTTGGGCAGACTTAACTTCTCGGGATAAATAAAGCATCACTCATAAATTGGGCTAAGCCTTACCACTGAACTGGGTCATACTTGACTCACTGGTTGGGTCATACCTAGACACATGAGTTGGGATTGTGTCTGACGACATGGGCTAGGTCGTATTTAATCGCATGAGCTATACCATGCTTAACTACATGAGTTGTATCATACCTTATCACATGGGCTAGGTCATACATGACCACATGAGCTGGGTCGACCCGATGTACCAGATCAACCTGACTCAAGTTAGACCCAAATTAGACTCTTTTTATCAAATTAGATTTTAATATTTTAAATTATTAAAGAATAACTAAATCAATAAATGAAAGAAATTAAATTCATGATCTTAAATTTAAAACTAATTAAATCAAGAAATTCACACATAATTCTTGAAACATAGACATATCTAATTAAATAAATTAAAACTATTATATTAATCCAAAAATAATAATTTTAATAATTAAATTAATATTAAATTAACTTAAGCTTAATAGACTAATATAAATCAAATAATCATTGTAACATCACAAATCAATTATTATTATTTATTAATCATCAAATTTTAAAATTAAAATATTAGTATGCATCATAAAATTATAAAAATCCTAATATTTGATTTCAAAATATAAATGAAAGCTGATTAAAAAAGAATCCTACCTCTCTTTAATTATCCTTTCCTCGGGATCATCTCATTGGGAAGTCATCTCCTCAATCCTCCCAGTGAGAAATGAGAAAGGAGGAGCCCCAAGAAGATGAGATCTCCCCAAAAGGTAAGTAATAATTTAATTTTAATTTATTTTTATTTACTTTCACATATACAGAGAAAATTATAATATTTATTTCTTATGGTTCACACACGAAAATAGAATATAAAATATTTATTTCCTAAAAATCACATCCTTTGTTTAGGAAATAAATCAATTAACAATCTAATTGATTAACAAAATTCCTAACTTGTTTACATGATTAAGGAAATCAAATTTAATCATTTCCTTAGCTATAGTACATAAACATGGAAGATAATAATAAAACAATATATTATTTATAGTAATTAATTTACATTAAGGGAGAAAATTGCTGATGATTACATATTTAGTTTTATGTAATGTATCAAAAATCATGAACTATGATTTAGTAATCTACAAAGACGTATAAGTTGTATCATTGACATTAGATATATGTGATTGAAAATTATATATTAATTATAAATATAATTTCAAGCTAGGTGCTTGATATTTTCTCTTACCATATACTTGTATCTCATCGTAGATTTAAGTGTGGTAAACTTTTAGACCAATGGATGACACTTTAAGTTGTGGAGATAATATTATAATATATTTTACATGGTAGTAGTTTTAATAAGAGAATTAAACAAATATTTTTACTAAATAGATTATTTTTTATGAAATTATATAAATAAGAGTTACTTATTGTCATCACATAAGAAATATACGCTTAAACCGTGAGATCCTAGTTAGATTTTCTTGAGATCCTAGTTAGATCAGAGTGGAGTGAGGAAGAGATGATACTAGAATAATGATTTTGAGAACTTAAAATATCATGAGGCCCATTATTTTTGCTAAAAATCTAAGTATTATTGACAAATAAAAAATTGAGGTTAAAGTGATAGAGTGGAATTATAATTGGTAGAATTTAGAGGACCAAATCTTTTTTAAAGGGGGAAAGAATTATAATATCCTAATTTTAATTGTGGATAAATTAATAATTTAATTTTGCAAGAGGAACATAGGATTATATTTGTGGTTGCCATTTCATCCTCTTGTGACAGAGAATGCAACCATCAAGGAGTGAGAGGAAATATTAGCCATCACCTACAAAAGACCAAGGTAGAGATTTAAATCCTCAGATTTCTCTATCTTTTATGGATATCATGATATAGGAATTTTTCATATGCTTCTTTTTCATTATGTTAAGAATTATTTTTACAAATTCATTTTTTTTTTCTCTTCAGTTCTTAAGTTTATCATGGTATTATTATGCGCTCCTTGTCTTAAACTAATTGTATATGATAATCCTCTTCATGAGTTAAACTAACAATTCACTTAAACCAAACCTCCTATGACCAAAGCTATATTTATCGATCAAGCCAGTGATCAACCTAAGTATACATTCCCGAACCTAGTGATCGGTATGAGCCTACAAGATTCAACCATCAAATATGGCTACAAGTTTTGGAATTAAATATACATATCGAAAGATAACTCAATAGTTTAAATATTTTCTAAATTGACCATCTACTCTAAAGTTTTAGCATCAATCGGTTGACCTTGTTGTTCGATTTAGAAGTGAGAGGCACAAGATTAAGTATGACTTATTCTTAAAGGCATCTCCTCCATCATGTGATGTAAATTGTATAAAAAATATTCGTCAAAAATTCTAACGAAACTTGTTATATTGGAGTGGCTTTCCTCTTCGTATATTACCCTTAGAGGTTTTAAAAACTAACATCTCCTAAGAATACTCTATTTTGTATTAAACAAAACTATACATTATTTTGCCACTAAGCCATACTTACTAGATTGAACCCGTTGCACAATTTAAGGTCTAACATTTTCCTTCATGCAGAAGAGCAAGCTTTCATGTTTTATAGGTTGAGTTTCGATCTTAAGATTGCTACAAATATCCTATTATCTATGTATAAAACATTTGCATGAGTATCAGATTCTTTGAATCATTAATTCCTTTACTTTATAAGCCCTTTATGCGAACTCTTTGAGTCATTGACCATTTTTCAACTCGCATGATCTCCTTTTTAATTTAAGCAATCTAGCTAATATTAAGTACTACCAAATTAGGTTGATGAGATTGAGTCATAGTTCAAACTCAATCTTTGTGTATATATTTTTTTATTTTTATGATAATACGTTTCATGTAAGAGATTGGTCATTCAAATTTTTGCTGCTCACTCCTGTAATTGATTGTTCCCAATGTCTTTATGCATCTACAAAGGCCTCTATTAGATGCAAACCATTTGTTCATATGTTTGTCCTATTCTACTACCATTTATGATGGGTTTAATTAATTTTGCCTAAATCATTTGTGATTAGCTTAACTAATTTTGCCTTATGATATCCATTTATAAAAGATCAACCTTCCTGTGATTTAGGACAGACATTCATGAAAAAGGAAAAGAAACAAATTAGTGACCAGCAAATTGTTACCATCACTCCACCAAAATATAAACTCTACATCACACATCACACAAATTCTTTGTGAATGATGCAACACAAATGTAGTAGACATTGTGAACTTCGAACCATCAGCGGACAAAGAATCAATCAAGACTGTCAGTCTCGCTCATCCATGCAACATCGATTTCTAGCGACGTGACAACCTACACCAATTGATACCAAATTGGGAAGAGGTAAAAACACAGTGAAAATTCACGAGGTGAAGGATTGACAGGAATCTTCAACCTTTCTAAGCACTATACATTTGTTTCTTTTTAGCTGCTAAATTTCGAGTATTATAAGAAAATAGAGTAAGAACCATCCTATGCAAACAATACTGAAACAGTGAAACAGTTCCTACAAGGAATCGAGGAATGCTCTTGAATTCAGTCTCTTTTCTTCTCGTTTCCATTGCTGCCAGTTGTATCTTCTCTGTTGCTCTATCTTCCTGCCTTAATTCCTTAGTATTGTGTCCATTCATGCCGGTAGAGTGAGCTGTCTGTGCCGTAATACAGGGAAAACTGAAGTGCACGGCGGAAGAGGAAGATATGCTGGTGATGGAGACAGCGTGGGGGGTCGTGCTGACGGTGACGGCTGCAGCGATGGGGCTGGTGGCGGTGTGTGGAGGCTTGAGACGGCTGCACGAGTGGGTGCAGGAGGTCGGCCTTGGGGAGAAGCGCCGCCACCTGCCGCCGGGCGACATGGGTTGGCCCATCATCGGTAACATGTGGGCCTTCCTCCGCTCCTTCAAGTCCGGCCAACCTGATTCCTTCATCGCCTCCTTCGTCCGACGGTCAGTCATTCTCATTCCCCGAGAATGAGAATATTATATA